GACTTTGTTGGCGGCGGTCGACCCGTGAAATCGGCAAAGGACGGGCAGCAGCGGCAGGGACACGAGGGTGCCCTGGTTGAAGGCGCGCATCCTTACCTGGCGCGTGAACTGTAAGCAGGGCTGCTTATACGAAGCCTCCCGCCCTCACCCTGCTCCCCTCTGCGCGCGGCTGGCTTCGGGGGCCACGTGCGGGAGAAGAGCCCCGCCTTCCTCCTCCCCTCCCGGGCCCCCTCGGGGCCTCGTCGCCACGGCCAGGTCCGCGACGAGACGGTAGTCGGCACGCGCCCGAGGGGAGACACCCCGCGGAGGAGAGGGCGGGGGGGGCGAGCCCTGGCTGGGCCCTCGGAGCCCTCGGGGCCCCGTCGCCACGAGGAGAGGGCGGGGGAGACGAGCCCTTCTCGGCCCCGTCGCCGCGGCCAGGTCCGCAACGAGACCGCTGGTTGGCGCGCGCCCGAGGGGAGAAGCCCCCCAAGGAGGAGGGGGCCGGGGGACACACACACACACACACACACATAGACACAAGTCCCAAGTTTCCAAGTTATAGGTTCTATGTGGTATGGATGTTCGTCTTCCCCTCCACGGCGGGAGCCGCCGCGGCCACCTCTAGAGAGCGCCCCCTCCCTGCGAAGAGGGGAGTGCATACGAGGCCTACCAGGAGGAGGAGGAGGAGGAGGAGGAGGAGGAGGAGGAGGAGGAGGAGGAGGGAGGAGCATGAGGAGGAGAACGAAGAGAAGAACGAAGATAAGAAGGAGGGAGAGGAGGAGGGGGAAGAAGAAGGACGCCGACGAAGAGGATACAAAGAAGGAGGAGGAGGAGGAGGAGGAGGAGGAGAACGACGAAGAGAGGGAGGAAGACAAGGAGAAGGACGGGCGGGAGGGATCTTCGGAGCAGAAGACCCGACCCCCGATGCCTCCCCAATGGGGGGGCCGGCCTTGGCGCCGTCCTTGGCGGCATCCTGGGGGCGGCCGGGAGGGGGGCACGGCGGCGCTCCCGGCGGGACGGGCGCCTCCCCCCCCCCCACCCGCGGGGAGGAGGAGGAGGAGGAGGAGGAGGAGAAGAAGAGGAGGAGGAGGAGGAGGAAGAGGAGGAGGAGGAGGAGGAGGAGAAGAGGAGGAGGAGGAGGAGGAGGAGGAGGACGAGGACGAGGAGGAGGAGGGTTCCGAGGGTTCCGATGACGACGAGGGGCTCCGGGAACGAGGCACCACGCCAAAAAGGGCCCCCTGAAGGAGACACAATTCCAAGGAGTCCCAATGTTTTCTCATAGCCCACCAGCCCTTCAGGGCGTAGGTGGCCCAGAGTGTTTTTGTTTCTTCCATCTGGCCCTCTTCCTCTCGGGGAGGGGTTGATCACTGCTCCATATTGATATACACCCCTCCCCCAGGCAACCAACGGCCAGCCAGGAACTATGATCCCCCCCACCATCCCCGTCAGAAAAACAATACGAAACGAACTCTACCTCCACAATCGGAGCATGCACGGCCAACCCGATGCGCCGCCCCCCACCATCCCTATCAAAAATAATACAAAGTACACTATGGGGCAAAGTCTTGAGTCATGTTCGCGAGGCCCGCGAGCACTTTGTATTGTTTTGACAGGGACGGCGGGGATGTCAGCATACTGCCTGCTGCGCGCAGGGCTACCTACCCTCCCGACTACAAAACAATACAACATGCACCTTGCGGCTAAATCTGGAACATGCGCGGCCACCCCGCGATCACTGTCAAACGGTTTTGACAGAGACAGCGGGGGTGGTGGCGTATGTTCTGCTGTGCGCAGGCCCACCAGGGTGGTGGGGGCCGACATGTTTCCCGATGTGTGCTGTCAGGTGTGCAGGAGCTCCTGACACACTCTGCACGTGCCCCGAACGTGGCGCACCTGGCGAGGCTGGGGTATGCGGTACACCTGGCGCACGCGGAGGCACGTGGCGCATCTGGTGCACCAGCCGTGCCTGGCACGCTCGGACCCCAGGGGTGCCTGGCGCGCGTCGCGCGCCAGGCACGCTTTGCGCGCCTCGCCCAAGTGTCGCGCACATTTGGTTGTTTTTGGTTCCCAGTAGCTGTCCATCCAAAAACGACCGCTGAACATGCTCAGGACTGGGTGTTACTCATGCGTTGGGAGAGCGGGTGCGAGTGAGATAGACGGCTTGCTATCCATGGGGTGCCTTGACCCCTTCCCCTACCGCCTCTCCTGGACCTGGACGGGGGGTCCCCCGAGGGTTTGGAGCGTCCAAGATGGCTCAAGATGGTCCCAAGAGCGCCTCGGAAAGCTCAAAATGAGCGCCAAGACGGCCCAAGATATACCAAGATGCTTAAAGATGGCTCCCAAGATGCTCCAAGAGGTACAAAGACCGCTCCAAGACGGCTCAAAGAGGCCAGAGAACTCCCCCAGGAGGCCCCGAAGTGGCCAGAATTCCTCTCAAACCTATTGAAAATCAATGTGTGTTGTTTTCTCGCCTTTTCGCCTCGGACGGTCATCCAACGCCTCAAGATGGCTTCAAGATGGCCCAAGAGAGCCCCAGGAGAGGCCCAAGAGAGCCCCAAGACGGCCCCCAGGAGCGCCCAGGAGCGCCCCAAGAGCGCTCCAAGAGGGGTCTAGGAGAAGATGTTCGGTGCTCCCCAGGGGGGAGGCTAATTAAAGAGCCTCTCTTGTTTGATCGCTCTTTTTTGATCGATCTCCTCCAAGATGGCCCCAAGAGTACCCCTAAAGCTCTCAAGTCGCCCCAAGAGGGCCCCAAGAGGCGCCCAGGCAGCCCGAAGAGGCGCCCAAGAGGCCTCCAAGAGGCGGAGGCGAAGCGAGGATGAGGAGGGAGGAGCAGGAGCGAATAGCCAGGAGCGCAGAGAGAAGCGAGGAACGAGGAGGAGGAACGAGGAGAGAAGAGAGGAGCCAGGAGCTGGGAGCGAGGAAGCGGGAGCGAGGAGCCAGGAGCGCGGGGCCAGGAGCGAGGTATACGAGGAGAGGAGCGGGGAGCGGGGAGCGAGGAGGAGCGGCCATCCCCCCCGAGCGGGGAGGAGCGGGGAGCGGGGAGGAGCGGGGAGCGGGGAGCGAGGAGGAGCGGGGAGCGAGGAGGAGCGGGGAGGAGGGAGCGAGGTGGAGCCCGAGGGGCGAGGAGGAGGGAGAAGTGGGGAAACACTTCAGGAGGGGCAAGTTCGGGTTTTGTCCCCCCCGACCTGTTCGCGAGCCCACGCAAGACGCACGCGCCCAACCACGTACACGAATACGGTCCCATGGTCCGTGTGACCAACCCTGGGATACGAACCATCGGGCCTTCCGTGTTTTCGAAACCAACGTGGATCCATATACGTGTACGTCCCTTTTTCGTTCCTGACTCGTGGTGCCCATCACCTCCCAACGGTACTGGTTCCCATATTTGGGAGCTTATCAGCTTCAAGCACATTCGACGGCTTCGTCGTGAGAACAATGTAGGGCTACTAAGCCAGACGAAAGGACCACTGAGCCGGATCAGGCCAAATTGAGCCCCAGGCTCAACAGTTTCAAACGGGCCTGCGCCGCACCAACCGGAATCAGACCAGACGAAGCGGGATGGAACCAGATTCTCAGTCGTCGACTGGGGTTATACCAGCGCCGATTCTGAATTGAACACTGCATGCGAGTAAGACAAAGTCGGGACAAGGATACTCCAGATTTCGTAATAAAAGGCAGGGGGTCTGGATCCTCCAAGACAAGCATTTCAGACCTCCCCCGTGGGAGAACCCTCCAAAACATCGTCCCCAGACCCCCCAGGCCCTCCAAGATAGCCTGGAAGAGACCTCCCCCCCGAAATGAGACCCCCCTCCCGTTATTACGAAATCTGGAGTAATATCGGAACAGGATAGTTCGGGGACCTCTGAGATCCGGCGGCTCTGGGGGATCTATCGGGCGCCGCGACCTCCTCGAAGCGTTCCCCACCACGCTATGAGAGCGCTCCCGAACGCTCTGGAACGGATGTGTCCTTGGGCAGCGCGGTGCGGTGCCAGGAGGAGGAGGGGGGGAAAGAAGAGGAAGAGGGGGAGAAGGGGGGGGTCACCAGTGGGGGGATCACCGCCAAAATCCTCTTGGGAATCAAGGCTGCTGGATCGAAAAGCTCTCGAAGCTCTGGGACTTTGTCTCTGTGTGTGGCTGTATTTTTTGCGGGGGGTCCAGCGTGTCCTGGGGGCCCTCATTGCCTCTAGAAAAATGCGCCCTCCTCCCTTCACCTTCTCGTCCTCCTTCTCCTCCTCCTCCTCCTGGTCCTCCTCCTCCTCCACCTCCTCCTCCTACGGCTCAACAACAACTGCACTCAGGCAAAACGACGGAACGCGGCAAACATAAGACACAACATCCCACGTTGTATATGTCCTAGCATGCAGGTCGACGGAGTTGCTTGAGTCTGTTGACCACTGGCAGCGGAAACGATTATGGTGACGATGATGATGGTGGTGATGGTGGTGGTGATGGCGATCATGATGATGACGATGAGTATGATGATGACGACGACGATGATCATGATGCTGATGGTGATGGTGATGATGGTGATGATGATGATGCTGATGATGCTGATGATGATGATGATGATGATGATATGGGGGAGCGGAAAGGAAGGGGAATTACGATGATGACGTTATTGATGTTGATGCTGATGTTGCTGAGGATTATGTTGCTGCTGATGCTGATGGTCAGCATGATGATGTTGATGAATGATGATGCTGATGAATGGTGATGATGATGATGAATGGTTGTGCTGGTGATGACGATGCTGATGATGACGATGATGATGATGATGATGATGATGACGGTGGTGATGATGTCGAAGATGATGATGATGATGATGATGATGATGATGATGATGATGATGATGATGATGATGATGATGATGATGATGATGATGATGATGATGATGATGATGATGATGATGATGATGATGATGGTGGTGGTGGTGGTGGTGGTGGTGGTGATGATTAAGATGATGAGGAAGATGATGATGATTGCGGTTATGACGATGATGATGATGATGATGAGGAGGAGGAGGAGGAGGAGGAGGAGGAGGATGCTGGTCCCCTCGCGGCGGCGCAGGGCACGGATGGGCTGCCGCGTTTCGGCGGCGGCAGAGCCGAGTGGAGAAGGCCCAGCGGCGTGCCTCGCGAGCGACCGCCGCGAACGAGCCCTGCGGGGCCCCGAGGGGCGCGGCCCGCGGCCTCTCCCGCGCCCCCCCCCCCGGAGGTCCTGGACGTGCGCGCTCCGCTCCCGGCTGCCCGCGCGTGGGCTCAAGGACGCGGCGGCGGTGGGAGGCACTCCGGGGCTGCGACCTCCCCCCGGGCGTTGTATATGCCCAGCTTCCTCGCGACGCTGAGGATCCTGTCCAGCGAGCTCGTGGACCGGAACGGGTTCCACGTCGTGTCCAGGTCCATCTGCCTGTACACCCCCTCCATCGAGCGCGGCCGCTGCTCGAGGTGGGGGTGGTTCATGAAATCCGACCACCAAAACTCGTACACCCACTTGGAACTTCCGTAGGCCAACTGCGTGCCGTCTGCAAGATCATTCCACGACGCCTGGATGGCGTTGATGTACGAGGGGCACATATCTGGATGTGCGGTGAGGTACGTGAGAACGTGGAGGAACGTTTCCATGTACAGCAGCCAACGATCCGCAATATCGGACATATACTCACATTGTCCATCGACGCGGCACTCCCCAGCTGTACTTGCCAACGCTGGGACGATTACTTCATCCCAGACTCTCTGCATCTGGCGCCCAAAATCACGATTCATGAAATCGGCGCAGAGACCCTGTCTCAGAGTGTGGAGCTTCATTTGGCCGACCCAGAGTTTGATGCCAGTCATGATGATTGTTGCCCCAATGCCTTGAATGGAAGCGAAGCTCGCACCCGAAGCAAAACCAGAATACGCTGTGACCCCGAATCGAGCGACTGCCGAGGATTTTCTTATCTGATCTGTTGTTGGCCCCATCCGGAATTTGGTATCAACCTGGGTGTGTTCCTGGCCAACCGCGCTCGATCGGTTGTCCTCGTGAACCTCAATATGGCTCTCCAAATTGAAGTCGTCGTTCGACAGTCGGTATCGGTGAACCAATCCCCATCCCCATCCCCGTCTCGTTCGAGACCCCCACCAGATTGCCACCCGAGTTGGGGATACACCCCTCGAAACCCGAAGGGGACGACCTATATATCCCCATCTAGTGGGGTAAACCGGCCAGTGGGATCCGGGCCACGCCGCTGGAGATGGGGATCGGTTGATCGATACTGAGACAGTCCCTGCCGCGCCGCTGACGCTGGGCCCGCCAGCAAAGCAAAAGCCACCACCACAATGAACACACGAATTGCCATTGCGGTCCGCAGCCTTCTGCACCGAGCAAAGATTTCTTGTGGGAATGGTCCTCTGGCAGAACAACTAGTTGCTTGAGCCAACATGAGGATAAAAATCAGGGCCACGATGCGGATAAAGATCGGCACGCACTTCTAGATTCGCCGAACCCCGCTTGCCGGGGGTGAAACGGCGTGTGAGATATTCGGCTGTCCCCCACCCCTCTACCCCCCTACAAGGGGGTTCGGAATCCCATTCTATGGTCGAAAATGACATGATAAGCCCTACCGTATACGACGCCTCAAACGTACCTCAGGACCCCATGACATATCCACGCAGTAGGTATGAGCGCGTACTGGCGGCGAGCAAGGGGAAAACCTCGCAAACTTTCCGGAAGGCCGAGGGACTTTCGAGCCTCCCGAGAAGGCCCGAGCACCTGCTCGCTTCCCCCCCTCGCTCGCCGCCGGGGGTAGACGAGAGACTAGACGCGCGAGTAGTGGGTGCATCGCCGGAACAAGTGGACGCGTCCTCCTCTCTGTAACCCGGATGCCCTTGGGGTCGAAAGTGAGATGGTAAGCCGTACCATCTACTACGCCCCAAGCGTACACCCTGCGAAATGCTTAAGAGATCACGGTTTAAGAAATTCAAAGTCTCAGAATTTAAATAATAACCAAAAATGTCCATTCAAATCTTAGGATTTACTTAGAGACTCTGGCCGAAAACTTAGGTTTTCTGAAGCATCGCCTAAGGTGTACTACGCCCCGAGCGTACCACAGGACCCCATGGCATGTCCACGCAGTACGTATGAGCGGGTAGACGGAGAGATGTGCGGCAGCCCCGGGGTCCAGACGCGGCCTCTGGACACGCCGACGGCGGCGGAGGAAAAGCATCCGCCTTGATATGTTGCTCCTCAGTGCAGTGGAGGTTGGGACGATCTTCCTCGATCGTCGATCGTCCTCGACCCTCCAGACTCGCACAGAAAAAGGCAAGCATCACCACCGAGAAACTACACCCTCGAACCTCGATCCTCTGCCTCCCCTTCCTCCTCTTCCGCCTCCTCTCATACCCAACATCAATATAATCATCACCCCACAAACGGGTGACGCAAAACAAACAACGCACGCTGAATGATTTCGGTACCATTGCCCGCGCGCGAGCTTGCGGCCGCGGCAGAATGGTTGCGAAAGGAATTCCATCGCCAGGT